CTCCTTTTAAGTGGTACAATATCTTACTTGGGATTTATTCAAAGTCCTACTAGCATAAGCAATGACCTTCTCCTCGCCATTTTGTACTTGAGATAGAACAGCACCTAATCTTGTCAAACTAGCATCTGTATCTAAGATGAACTCTGAGGTACTATCAGGATAAGCTAACACAGGAGCTGAACAAAGGAGTTCCTTAAGTTTCTCAAATGATTTTTGACAATCTGAAGTCCAACAAAATTTCTTCCCTTTTCTTGTCAAATATGTTAAAGGGGCTGCAAAGGTGGAAAACTCAGGAATAAACCTCCTATAATATCCTACTAACCCTAAGAAGCTTCTAACCTCTGTGACATTACTAGGTACAGGCCATTTCTTAACTTTGTCAATTTTACTAGGATCACACTGAATTCCTTTATCAGACATCACATGACCTAAAAATGACACTTCTCTCTGAAATAGTACACACTTTGAGGGTTTCAAGGTCAAATTCGCTGACCTGAGTCTGTCGAACCCTAGCTTAAGATTTTTTAAAGCTTGGTCAAAACTGCTTCCAAACACAATGATGTCATCTAAATAACATAAACATTTCTCCCATCTGAGACCTCTAAGAACTAACTCAATTAATCTCTCATAACAACTAGGGGCATTGCACATGCCAAAGGGCATTACTTTAAACTGGAATAAGCCCATATGAGTTGAGAAAGCTGTTTTTGATTTATCCTTATCTGACATCTCCATCTGCCAATACCCAGAAACTAAATCTAATGTACTGAACCAGGAAGCTCCAGCTAAAGAATCAAGTGACTCATCTATGCGGGGCAAAGGGTAAGCGTCTTTCTTAGTAACTGAGTTAAGTTGCCTATAGTCTACGAAAAATCTCCAAGAACCATCTTTTTTAGCAACTAACAACAAGGGAGCTGACCAAGGACTATCACTAGGTTCTATAACATCATTATCGAGCATCTTTGAAATCTCCTTCTCTACAATTTCTCTCTGAGCATAAGGTAATCTACGGGGTGGAATTTTGATAGGCTTAGAATCACCAGTATCTATACTATGTTTCACAAGATTTGTTCTCCCAAATCTACCATCAGGTCCAACAAAAATATCCTGATAATGTATCAGTAATTCTAACAACTGAGATTTCTCTTTTTCAGATAACTCTCACAAGACCTATCGAACAATGATTGCAAATGTTCAGGAAGTTCTACGGAAACTAGATCACTCATAGACTTGTCAGACTCTAAAATGTCAACCTGCTGTACAGAAGCCACTGTTGTGTGTTTATTGATCCTAACAGCCTTGTCTGAAATATTTACAACAGAAAATAAAATCTTGTCAGGATTCACTAAAGTTCTAGCAACTAACAGAACCTTTTGATTTAAAAACTTGAACGGCTCAAACAAATTATTTACAGAAGCGTCCAAATCACCTACAGCATACCCTGGTACAAAAACTTCACAATCAGGGGGAATAACTATGTTCTTTGCCACCTTGACTCTAGCACAAATAGGAGTTGTCTCCCTCTCTAACTGAATATGCTGACCACCTATCAACATGAGACACCTAGAAACTTGAATTGTCACATCATTGTTCTCCAAGAAATCCATCCCAAGGATTCCACACAAGTCTCCTAACTCAGTAACAATAAACTCATGACAAAACAAATTATCTCCTATTCTAAACTCTAAGTCAACTTTCCCTAAAACTTTCATAGCACTACCATCTGCTGTGGTTAATGACAAAACACAAGGTTTCAAGGAGGGTCTATTCTCGAAAGTCATAAAAACATCTTTGTCTATCTAACAAACCTGAGAACCAGCGTCGACTAAAAACTTATTTACATGTTCTCCTACAGTACAGCCTACACGTAAACATTACTTCTGAAGCAAACGAACTCTTAACTTCTGAGTAGCCCTAATATCAACAGAATTTTGGGTCACACTGCGGGCTTCGAATGCAACCCTGGGAAGTTTTCCTTATCCCTAACTGATGGTGTGTGAGAAGGGGGTGTCTTATCTTTCTCTACCCTATCACTAGTGTTTTGTGTATGACAGTATCTGGCTGTGTGTCCTAACTGATGGCATTTATAACACACTATGACTTTCCCTGTTTGTTTTTTACCACCCCGATAACTATTGGCCATTTTGTTAACACATTTCTCTAGAGTTTTAACTAGACTTGATAACTCATCAGGGGTCTTAACAGGTGTAGTTTCATTATCTGTCCTAACACTATTTACACTTGGCTTAGTGATGGAGAGTTGTGGCCCCTTAACTGCCTCTTCTGTTGCTAATGAAATGGCACTCTCTAAAGTCTTAGGATGATGTAAAATGACATGAGATCTAATTTCGGAATTCCCTATTCCACTCATAAACTGCTCTAAAACAACTATCTCTCTATCAGAATAGGCCATATCTGGAAAAGCTAAGTTTCCTAACCTCCTAAGCGCAAAACCATAATCTGAAGGGCTTTCATTCTGTTTTCTAAGACACGATCTAAAATCTACTCTATGAGCAACGACTAGTTCTTTTGGACAAAACCTACTAGATAAGATTGATGTTAAGTTGTCATAATCTTTTCTTTGTTCTTGAGATAGGTCACCTAGAATTTTCTGTGCCTCCCCCCTTAATGACATAACTAACTGCTGGGATTTTTCTTCATGAGACCAATTGTTCCAATTAGACACTTGCTCGAAATGAACTAGGTAATCCTGCCATGCTACATTCCTACCATCAAACTTATCTGGTTTTTTTTTCTCTCCGTTTAGGTCTACCAAGATTTACAGGGGTACTGGGCAGTGTATACATATTTGTCTGTGACCTACTGAGATTCTCACTTCTGTCTCTCTGTGCAAAGTTTATTTGTGCAGGTGAGGTACTCAAACTATCTGTTTCTCTCACTCTATCTAAGGGTGTCATTGTCTCTCTTACAACTTTATTCTGACTTGCTTGTCTGTCCCTATCATTACCTTCAGCAAATGACACACGACGATTGCGTCGAAGAGTTTCCTCAATCTCATGCTTACATTTCTCAAAGTCTGTAGTGAGGTCCTGCAATAGTTGTTCTAAATCTGAAACCTGTACACTAAGGCTAGTATCTAGCTTACTCTCATGCATCTCAATCTCACTCACAGGAGAGGACAAAGAGGGCTGATTGACTCTTCTCATAAGCTTACGTCTAGCACCTTGACTTGAACTTAACCTATCAACTCTAGGGGTTGATGTAGCTCTCTCTACTCTATCAGAATCTGAATTTAGCGAAGCCATGGTTTCTATTCAGAAATTCTGGTCAAGGCACCAAAAATTATGTAACCGGAAGTAGAACTCTTTAGTGTATAAATTACCAAAGTTACTAGCCAACTTGGCTTAAAGGAGTAAACTATCTCCAGTTATTAATGATCAATCCAGATAAGGGGATTTCTGAACCATGGTCAACGCTAAATGAAAACACATTCGTAAGTTTATCAATTTAATAAAGTGAGAATTAACCGTTGTAAATGATAACAAATAACAAATAATGATCAAAATTTAACAAACAGAAAAGTCTTTGAAAATTGCACAGAATAAATAAAGCTTTATCAAAAATGTAATTTAATCTGAAAAATGAATTTCACAAATCTCAATGAATAATCTCAATAAATAAATAATTGCAAAATGTAATGAAAAATGGGAGGAATGTGGCAAATCTATGAAAAAATAGTCTATGTCCCTACTGAGCTACCATACTATTAAAAAGGTGAAAAATCCTAGAGATAAAAAAAAATGTAAAGGGAATGAGCTATATCACCCAATATGACACTATCAACACTCTAGAGTTAATCTGAAAATATCAATACTAATTCTAAGCTCTAAAAATAACTGACCCAGAAAATAAACAACACCCAAAAATAAATAATAAATAGAGGTTCTAGAAAATAAACCTGTTATCTACATATCCCTAGACCAGGCAGGACTTGGAAAGGGAAACTTAAATTACTTTAAATACCTACATCCTAATCTACCATATAACTTTATTCTATAAAACCTACACCCTAACCTATCATTAAGTGCTCGCTCAGCACGTCCTAAAATGAAACCTATAATGCCATGTACCTTGAGGTTGGCATCAAATCAGAGATAATGTGCCATGAGGCTTATCCCTAACCAAGTGAAGTAAACTGCTCGAACACGGGTTAAAATACCCTAGCTAGGCCCAAAATAAAAGCCAATGACTATCAAAGATCCTAAAGCTAAGTTAATCTATCAGAATGCAGCTATCAAAAGTACTACGGAAAGACTGCCAACATGGATGACACTTCCTGTTTAAAAAGTAAAACATGTGGAATGTCAACTCATGTCCTAACTTATAAAAGATTAATAATAAAGGGACTTTACGTAAATAACAACTGAAAACAAATGGTAAATAGAATTATCAGACTGAAATACCAGCAAATTCTTGTAAAATAGGAATTACGAAACGATGGCTATGAAATAAAAATCCAAACCACTACACAAATATACGGCAGTGTCAATTAAATACGTAATGTACAGAAAATAATTAATAAAATAGTAAAGAAGACATTAAATTCAAGTTATTGACCCATATAATATCTGTAAATAATATTTTATTCAATTAGAGAATACATATTTTGTTGAGAAAATATTACCTGATCTGTCTTTCACTGCATACAAACTACGTCACGTTGTAAGAAATGACGTCATATTGACAAGTGTATTGCGATCAGTGACTTGTTTATAACATGTTATGTGGGATTTAACTAACGACGAAACAACACGCTGTAGTAGGTTTTTATGTAGTTTGATAATTTCTTACTAGTAAAACTAGCAGATAAACTCATTTTGTGGTATTTTAAAGTTATGTTGTATGACGTATATTGTGTATGATGTCATAGTCAAGTTTTCCCGTACAAATTAGGCTCCGCCTCCTTTTTGTAACCTTAACTGTGCTGCGTTTTGGCAATCTGTATTGTCTTCTGCGCTAGTCCATTGGACTGTGGATATCTAGGACTGGAAGTAACATGGTGAAAGTTGTATTCCCGAGCAAATGTGGAAAAATCCTGGCTTGCGAATTGTGGACCATTGTCGACAATTGTCGACTTTCCGTGGAATACCATGCCTACTAAATATCTTCTTCATCTTTTCTATAATATACTGACTGCAGTTGGTTGTCTTGTGTAGTTTCTCTACTTCAAAGTATCTACTGTAGTAATCAACTACTAACAGGTACTCCTGGTTGTTCCATGTGAACAAATCCGTAGCTATGGTCTCCCATGGGTAGTCTGGAATATCATGACTGATTAGTGGCTCATTGGGGTTCGAGTTTCTTCTCTCTAAGCTAACTCCACATTCCAGAACCTTGTTTGTGATGTCTGTTGACATTCTGGGCCAAAATATAATGTCCCTAGCTCTTCTTAAGCATTTTTCAAAAACCCATGTGACCTATGTGTACAGCTTCCATCACCTGACGTCTTAAGTCTCTTGGTATGATTATCTTGTGACCCTTAAATATAATGCCATCTATCTCTGTCATCTCATCCCCGTGGTTCCAATATTCTAGTGCTTCAGATGGACATTTCTTGCGTTTTTCAGGCCAACCATCATGTATAATGTTCTGAAGCATTTTCATCTGTGGGTCAGCTGGGGTTGCTGATTTGTTTTCCTCTAATCTTCTATCGCTCATCCTTGTACTGGACATAACTGTGTGCACATGTAAGTCCATGCCTGCAGGTAGCTGTAGGTTAGTATCTGGCAAAAACTTGCGTGAAAGGGTATCCGCTGTAGGTATGTCCTTGCTTGGGATGTGCGTGCGTCAACTGCAGTTGCAAAAGCATCCTTTTTAGCCTCACTGGAGCCTGTGCGAGTGGCTTTGTGTGAATGCCACTGAATGGCAACTAGTGGTCTGTATGTACCTGGACTTCCCTACCATATAGGTACTTGAGAAATTTCTTGCAGCCAAATAGGATAGACAACATTTCTTTCTCTATCTGGGCGTGCTTGATTTCCGCTGGGGTTAGTGACTTTGAAGCAAATGCAACTGGTTTGCCATCCTGCAAAAATGTTGCTACGAGCCCAAACTGAGATGCGTCAGTCTCCAACACTACTGGTTTTCCCGGGTCAAAGTATGTAAGCAAAGGTCCAGGTGTTCTGGTTATAAGGTCCTTGACCTTCTGGAATACCTGGGCCTGTGTTGTATCCCATATAAATTCCGTGTCTTTCAGCAGCAGCTGACGTAACTGGCTGGTGATGTTAGCAATATTTGGTGCAACCTTTGAGAGAAAAATGATCATACCCATAATAGTCTGAATGTCTGACGTATTGGTAGGGGCTCCATATCCCTAATAGCAGCCACCTAAGAGGTTTCTGGCTTCAATCCATCTGCTGAGAGGATGTGGCCAAAATATTTAACTTCCTAAATTCCCACTTTTAACTTCACCTTGTTTAACTTGATACCCACATTCCTGCATTTGTCTTACACCTTGATGAGGTTGTCATTGTGCTCTTGTGGGGTCCTGCCGTAAACCAATATGTCATCAACAATGGCAGCAACTCCGGACATTCCTTCAAAGCATTCGTCTATCTTCTGCTGGAAGATGTCTTGTGAGTTCTTCAAGCCAAATGGTAAACGCAGTTAGCGATATCTACCGAATGGAGTATTGAATGTAGTGAGTAGTGATGATTCACGTGAAAGTCTAAAAGTCCAGTAACCAGAGCTTGGAAAAGTACTTGGCACCTGAGACTTGAGGAAGGACATCATCCAAGGTCCTCATAGGGTAGTGTGGTCTCATAATGGCTTTGTTGAGTTCTATGGGATCCAAACATACTCTAAGCGTCCCTGATTATGGCTTTGTAGTAACGACTAATGTGTTCACCTATTCTGATGGTTCTGTTACCTTGGTGATGATATGCGCTGACTCTATTTTTAGCTTGTCGCGTAGGGCTACAGGCACCTTGCGCAGGGGGTTGACAACCTGTCGAACATCTGGATCAACCTGAAAAGTACATTCTCCTCCAAACAGACCTATGCGTGAAATACATCTGAGTACTTACTAAGTACTTGACTCTTACTGAAGGGCATAACCTTATCAATAGAGTAAGTGAGGTGAACTATGCCTAAATCTAAGCATGCTCGTAAACCTAGAATTGGATGCGAATTTGTCTGAACGACCTGATACTTTATGCTATGGTACTTACCCTTAAGGTTGCTTTGAATAACAGAATAGCCTATGGGGTGTGCAGAGTGGCCATTATAAGCAAAAAGCTTAATCTTAGAATTGCCTGATGTGTGATAGGGGGCTAAATCAATGTACAATGATTCGGACAGAATATTGACTTCAGATAGTGTATCTACTTTGAACCTAACCTCGTTGTGGTTTGGACCTAGCTTAATGTTAATAAATGCTTGATCATGTTAAAAACATTGCTATCAACATTATCAACATTAAAATCTGAATCTGACTCATGAACAACATTGCTAAACACATTACATGTATCATGATTAATGTCAACAGATCTCTGTGTATTGTTTATTTTACTGGGTTTCTGCAGGCAGTCACTTGAGTTCACATGACTAATGTCATTTACGGGATCGCGAACGACACACACTGGCGGAGTTGTTCCACTTGTGGCAGTTGTTGCACCTCTGACCTTGTGCCGGACAAGTATCTTGAGTTCCATTGCACTTTCCCGCATGGCTTCGTCTTCGGGGAAGACGGAAACTTTGTCGGAGTCTTTGACGGAGTGGATCGCATCTTCGTCTGGACGGGTGGTCTCCTACTGCTCCTCTCTGCTGGTGAGAGTGCATGGGGTGTAGACTTGGACAATGCTTGTACGTGTACCGATTGCTGTCCCATGAGTTTGAGCTATTCCTGAGAGTACTCGTATGCCTAAGCTATCTGTACAGCCCTATCCAGGGTGAGTGCCTCGCCAACATTAATAAGTTTTTCCCGGATTTTTCCCGATTGTATCCCAAACAAAACCCTGTCTCTAATAATTTCCTCCGCATCTTTAAAATTGCAGTCTCTTGCTAATAGATCCAGTTTTGTTACAAACTGATCAAACGTGTTTGTTCCTTGTACTTCATTGTTAAACTTGTATCTGGCGAAGATTAGGGCTGGGTCGATATATCGAGATATCGATATATCGTGATATATGTGAGGACGATACGCATATCGATACATATGGAGAAATATCGAAATAACGCCCAAAAAAATCTGATTTAATGTTTAATATATAAAGTAAATAAGATAAATAGAAATATGAAATAAATGATAATTAACACCAGTTGAGTTTAATATTTTTGTTTTACAACATATAAACAACTATTTTGAGTAAATTATTCTTATTTGCAAAGAAATAATCTGTTTATTTTCAATGCAAAAACAGATTTAATAAGCAATTAAACATATCGTATCGTGGCTCGATATAGAAAAAGTTGTATCGTCTTAGCCCTTGCAAAGATTGGGTTTAACTTGGGTTGAACGTACCTGAGAAATCTATCATAGTGTGGTTGTAGTTTCTTCATGTCATCGTTCGAAAATGCTGGGAAAGTGTTATAAATATCACGACCTTTCTCGCCAATCCCCAATATAGGTAATGAAACTTGTTCTTCTTCGTCCTTTTCTTTCAATGGACCTGCGAAAATCAGCTTCACATGTTGTTCAATTTTTTTCCAGGCTTCGGGCAAATTCGAACTAGTCCAGTCTATGGTCGGTGGGGGAATGCCGAATAACATTACAAAAAGATGTATTTGGTTAGGGTGAAGAAGAAACCTATAGTATTGAAGTGACCAGAGGTCAGATATTTGGATAAATTAGCTACAATAAATTATATTTAAAGATAATGCAAAAGATTGGAAATTATTTTAAAAGTGCATTAAAAGTTTAAAACGTACTCAAAATCAGAAGTAATGGTATATAAATTCAAATTAAGATTTGAAGTAATTATTGCAAATTTCGAAGGAGTCACAAATATGGAGATGTTAATCTACAAAGCTACATCTAGTATAAAATGAGCGGCCAGGATAGACAGGATTTCAGTGGAAAGCTGAATCTTGACTGTCTTTGTTGCATTTCATACAGGTGAGATAGTTTTCTAGACTTGCGCGGTTTTTGTCAAATCATTGAAATTTTCACAACCACAGTATTTGTAAACAAAAATGACTGTTTGTTTGAGTTCACCATTTTGTATAAAAATATCTAAAAACGTTCAAACTTTCTTGCAAATATTTTAAAATTACGGAATAGGTTGATCTTCTCTTCTGCGCGTCCACTGCGCGTCCAACGAGTTGCTGACGTCATAGTGGATCTTAGTAAAGTAAGATTATATACAAGGTAAAACACAGGTAGTAGAATATCATAAAAACGGGTCATGATCAGTACATGGTGAGATTTTACAGGAATTACAGAACACAAAAAATATTTTTACATGGTTGTTGACGGACATATTTTGTAGTTATGTCTTACGTCACAGTAGGGTTTTCCCGTACTCGAGAAATGTAAACATGACATGTTTTCTCATGATCATGTCTTGTTTAACTATGCCCTGTGCAATATTGAGCTCAGCTTCACCAATCTTGCATTTCGACGTAAATTTTCAAACATTGAATAAGGGCATTTTTTGCTAATTAATTTTTTGTTGTTGTTCAAGTTGTCTAAAAAGTAGGCAGTTTTTTGTCTCCAGATGTGATGTGACAAAAGAATCTTGCTTTTTCGAATTTTTAACCATATTCATACTATGAAGAAGTTTAAAAGACACATTTTCGCTGACATATTTCTTATATATCCCGAAAAAACTCAATGATCGACCGAGTATTCACTGGAGGGACGGCGTACGTGCAGTGGCATCGTGACACCACAATCAACATTTCAAACACTGTAACAATGGTAACAAAGGCCGCAGATAGATCTGAACAGGAAAAAAATATACAAGTATGATTATTTTCCAAACAGTATGATACCTTACACATAGCAAAAGGAAAACACGGGTTATAACTTGCAAAATGTACATTGAACTTTCTTTTTCTTTTATAAGATAGGACTAGTGTCGCCATGCAGATTTCAACTTCTTATGTATTCAAGTCCAAAATGCTATATCGAACAATTATTACCTTTTTCTATGGTGATTTCGCTTGGAGTGATCTTGATATTTTTCGGTTGAATAACAAACCACTTTAATTTTGAAAGATTTCCTCAAAACGTCTACGCATATGTAATCATAATTATTATTTTAAATAAAATAAAGTAAAATAAAAATTTCCCTCATAACTTGTATTCCGGTAAAAAGTATTGATCTAGTAACAAGGATTTTCTTCTGAATACGAATATATAAGATTTTGACATATTTCTGGTTCATATGAATTCAAAAAAGGCTTGCTTATAACATGCAGGGCTCCATTAGTACTCATAGAAATTCTAATAGATTGAAGAAGTAGTCTCCAAAAATCACATACTATATTGTAAAGCAGAAACGCTTGTATCTTTTTAAAACCAATTTCAGAGTATTGTTTAAAGAATAAGTTTTTTGAACAAAAAATGCAAATGGCCATTAATAGTGTACTTGGATTTTAGTTTTATTTTCATTGAAAAAGCAGCTGTCACAATGATGTAAAAAAGCCTGGATTTTAATCTATCATGGGGAATTGTTGAATATAAAGTTGATAAATTTTTATTTTGTTGATTTTGGCTAAAAAAATTCAAATTTTCTTAAAACTCCTTGGAAGTATTCACATCTGATTTACAAAACATCTCGAATGTATAACTGTAGTGTAGAGGCCCTCTGTACCTTAGGATTCCTATGCTTCACTGCGGGTTGTTAAGAATATAGGCAACGTACCTTACGTTCTAATAATGTTCAAAGATATTCTTTATTTAAGATTATAGTGTCATCAGATGTTCAAAGACAGAAAATCAGTATGCATTACCAGGTGTTTTTGAAAGATATCAATTGATGAGAATTCTTTAGTAATTAAAAGCAAAACATATAAAAATACTAAACATATATCTAGATGTTTCTTTTATCCAAAATTATTTCAGAGGAAGTGTACAACGCCGCATATAGACATTAAAAAACAGCAAACAGTACATTAAGCTACAAGAATTGGAACTCTTCAACTCTGTGGAAAAAGACAAAAAAGTTCTAACTACCTTGCGTATGTCCATAGAGCTAAATATTCAGTATTGGTTAATAAAAGCTATATATTTTTTATTGTTTGTTTCAAGTTATATATTCTGAATTCAAAATTGAACAAGTTGTCAAGCTGCTGGAGTACCACAAGAAGTTCTTGTTGGCAGTATGCAGATAATTACAAAATTTCTTAAAGAAATGTCAAACACTTAGATTAATTTTTATTTTCACCTTTTTATACAACATTTAAACAAATATTTTTGAGCATGTAACAAAGAGATATAACGTTAACCGTTTGCTTCAATTACATGTATCTCTTAATTAAGACTGTCTGACATTTTGAAATTTAAATATTATTGTTGTAAAGACTTTTTTTAGTAGTACGATCTCCTCAGTATCTGGATCGAGTATGTCAGAAAGAACAACAGGTTTGTCAGGCGTACCGCGGACAACTTGTCAAGCTGTATGCAGAATTCGCTCCAAGGAAGTTACTTCCTTTCCTAAAGAGCAGCATCCACTACCCACACTCTAAAAAAAGTTTTACTTGTTGTTTTTAAAATAAGATATTAGATTAAGAAAAACTAGTAATTATTAGTAATCCTTTTAGTCAGAATAGCAAGTAAATGACTATCATGGTTAGTAATTGTAAGCATAATTAGTAATAAGGATGAATTCATTTACTTATAAAATGATTTACTAAGTATCAATACGTAATAGGAATTATATTACTTAGTAAATGAACTACTCATTTTTAGTAAATTTTTATTACTTAATTTAGAGATAATATGCTTTCTATATACTAGATTTTATGAATTATTACAAAGTAAATGTAATTCTGAAATTAATTAAAATCTAGAATATTATTACTTAAGAGAATACTAAGTAAATGAAATACTTATCATATTTACTAAAATCGACATTATTTACTAGAAAAACTGCAAGGTATCAACCCTCTGATGAATTAAGGAGATACATGTAACTATGAAAGTATAAAATGTAAGACTAATCACAGTTTTCTTGATCACAGTTTCCTAATTGAGCTTTCTGAGTAATCAATTAGATGAGATCTACATGGTATGGTAACAATTACTTTCTATTTGTTTTGCTAATTTCTTTGTAATTGTTTTATTATATTTAACAATAAAACATTTAATTCCAGTATTAAAAGCCTTATAAATTAAATACGTTGTATCTTTTTAAGGACCATTTTAAAAATGGTTTAAAGTTTCAAATACCTAATACAACATTTTAATTAGTATGATTTTTTTTTTCATATGAAGGAATATTTAGAAGAAAGATAACAACTCCTCCCCACAGACAATTAAGATGGAAGCCAAAATTATATATTAAGTAATTATTTGTATTACAACTGCTCTGAATTCTCCTTGATTCAGTAAATAAATTATTGTTTTAAGTAAATCAATTAAATACAATTTAAACAAGATGTGTTTGTGAAACACTGATACCCCCCCCCCCCCCATTATGGCAAGATAGCAAAGGTTAAACTTTTCTTATATGCAAATTCAATATATTGGTATTTCTTGATATCTCAAAGGTCAAGGTCAAATGGTCAATGTTATTGGTATCTAATGAAAGGTCCTGCCACAAAAAATACATATCTGAAATATGAAAGCACTAGCCCCAACCCTTCAGAAGTTATGGTCAAAGTTTCCAATTTTGAAATGTAGATCAAACTCCAAGGTCAAGGACAATTCACAAAGGGTCAGATTTGGTGGTACCCAAAGATAGGTCTTGTCACAAGAATGAAATATGTAAAGTTTGAATGCACTAACCCTAACCTTTTTAAAGTTAAAGTCAAGGTTTGCTTTTTAAAAGTGGGTCAAACTCCAAGGTTAATGTCAAAGGGTCAAAGTTCTTGGTATCCAATGAATGGTCTTCTCACAGGAATTACATATATGTAAGTGTGAAAGCCCTATCCCTTATCGTTCAAAAGTAATGGCCAAGGTTAAAGTTTTTTCATATAGATCGAAATCTCCAAAGTCAAGGTCAAATGGTCATGGTTGTTGGTATCCAATGAAAGGTCTTTCAACAAAGAATATATATGTGACGTATTAATGTCCTGGTATTTACTGCTAAAGATAAAGTTTGGAATTTGTAAAAGTGGGTCAAACTCCAAGGTCAAGGTCAAAAGGTCAAATTTGGTGATACTCAAAGAAAGGTCTTGTCAAAAGGAATAGACATGAAATATACAAGTCATAGCTCCGGTAAATCAAAAGTTATGGGCAAGGTTAAAGTTTGTGCGGACAAACAGACAAACAGAGAGACAGACAGACGGACACTACAAAAACTATATACCCCCGAAACTTCGTTTACGGGGGCAAAAAAATATGTTATATAGTAAATAGTGGTAAAATGTAAGTAAAGACCAAGTAATGTTATTACTTATATACACAAATTTAAGTAAATATAAATTACTAAGTAAAACTTTTTAGTATGTAAGTAAAACAATTCGTTAAAATACAAAAATCAAGTAAAACATTTGAATTTAGTAATTGACATATATTTCAGTAATTGATTTAAAATTTTAAGTAAATGCTTAGTAATTATCTATTACTTATCTTTGTTATTTCAAGTAAAAAATGACTACTAAGTAAAACTTTTTTAAGAGTGCACTGCAGAGAGCCATGGACGAGTGCCAGGTCCGAGGGCTCATTCCTGAACAGGTCTATTTACTGGGTAAGTCTTATGATACTTCACTACAGAGAGCCATGGACGAGTGCCAAGTCCAAGGGCTCATTCCTGAACAGGTCTATTTACTGGGTAAGTCTTATGATACTTCACTACAGAGAGCCATGGACGAGTGTCAAGTCCGAGGGCTCATTCCTGAACAGGTCTATTTACTGGGTAAGTCTTATGATACTTCACTACAGAGAGCCATGGACGAGTGTCAAGTCCGAGGGCTAATTCCTGAGCAGGTATAATTTACTGGGTAAGTCTTATGATACTTCACTACAGAGAGCCATGGACGAGTGTCAAGTCCGAGGGCTAATTCCTGAGCAGGTCTATTTACTGGGTAAGTCTTATGATAATTCACTACAGAGAGCCATGGACGAGTGTCAAGTCCGAGGGCTCATTCCTGAACAGGTCTATTTACTGGGTAAGTCTTATGATAATTCACTACAGAGAGCCATGGACAAGTGCCAAGTCCAAGGGCTCATTCCTGAACAGGTCTATTTACTGGGTAAGTCTTATGATACTTCACTACAGAGAGCCATGGACGAGTGTCAACTCCGAGGGCTCATTCCTGAGCAGGTCTATTTACTGGGTAAGTCTAATGATAATTCACTACAGAGAGCCATGGACGAGTTTCAAGTCCGAGGGCTCATTCCTGAGCAGGTATAATTTACTGGGTAAGTCTAATGATAATTCACTACAGAGAGCCATGGACGAGTGCCAAGTCTGAGGGCTTATTCCTGAGCAGGTCTATTTACTGGGTAAGTCTAATGATAATTCACTACATAGAGCCATGGACGAGTGCCAAGTCCGAGAGCTAATTCCTGAGCAGGTCTATTTACTGGGTAAGTCTAATGATAATTCACTACATAGAGCCATGGACGAGTGGCAGGTCCGAGGGCTTATTCCTGAACAAGTCTATTTACTGGGTAAGTCTAATGATAATTCACTACAAAGAGCCATGGACGAGTGGCAGATCCGAGGGCTTATTCCTGAACAAGTCTATTTACTGGGTAGGTCTTTTGATAATTCACTACATAGAGCCATGGATGAGTGCAAAGTCCGAGAGCTAATTCCTGAACAGGTTTATCTACTGGGTAAGTCTTATCATACCCCTCTCAAACACAATATTCAGGTGGCTGACCAGGTTTGTGTCTGTAGCTTTATTCTTGAATTTACTTTATCCTTCACAAAGCTGGAGGGGTGGGGGTGACCTAGTTATCAATAATCTTGTCTATCTGTCTAGCCATCGCTTAACCCTACATAGTCAATTTTGGTCCGGTTTGGTCTCTGAAAGAACGTTTTATGCATGTCAGTAGCTATATGTATTTGTGTTGTCCATTTCCGTCTGTCCTTCCAATCTTCTACTATCTAATTTGTCCATCAAACTTTATGTCCTGCATATATTTCAATAACTATTCACACTTTCTACAATTAAATTGTAAATGCAATAACAACAAATACAACTAGAGGTACTGTGAGCAATGAGCTCACTAAATAATACCCCCCGCCTCCCATATGATTATAATTGCATAAGTCCATGTTTTGCGGTGGCCGGGAATTCCAAACTATTTGTCGGATCAAAAAATGAAATAGGAGGTGCACAATGGCATTATGTTACTGTAAACCAAGTATTATACGCGTGCGATAAATATCCGCGAGTTCCGCGAGTAACCTCTGCTCGCGGATATTTATCGTCGCGAACCAGTTGTGCATTATATTCCCATATCATTGCCTGACGTCATGGCGTCAGGCTGTATAAGGATTGATATTTGCTAGATCCGAAACTAATAGATCATACCTAGAGAGCTAGATTTTGTGCAAGCTGATTTACATTGAAATTCTTAACCTGCATTTTAAAAGAAACGACTTTCAGAAAAAATAATGACATTACTGATGCAACATACTGTAGCCTTTACTTCCTTTAATCTTTTTGCATGGAACGATTATTCGATGTGATTCACCTTTTCAACATGTCCGTATATCCTTTTTTCTGCATTTCTATACTACTGGATCAGTCCATTTATATTCTACTAAAGGGGTAATCGCTCTTTTCGCGCCAAATGTCACTGCTTTCTTCGCGCCTTTTCCTTGGATTGTTCAATTGTATGAATGGATGTTTTAACTTCCATGGAATTAGAATTTATTCTTTTAACCTCCTTCTGATGTTTCAGAAATTCTGTCTACAAATGAATGTTTTATCTCATTCTTTTAAACAGCATATCGTATAATATAACAGTATACAGACATGCAACACTAAAAAAGAAATGATTTTTCGAATTTGTTTCCCGATCCCGCGGTTGGTTTATTCCATAAATGGACTAGTCCGATAATAATAAACTCATTTCAACAAAGTCATGGTCTCCAGATGCATGAACAATTATATGTCTCTGTTCTGATGCACACAATAAATAAGAAACAAGTGCAAAATCTTTATATTTCTACACAGGTCTAAGTAGCGAATTTACTTATTTCATTCTCATTATATGATAGTGGGACTACCCCCCCCCCCCTTTTATGAAAAAAATAATGATTAACACACATAACTTCTGTATACTTCAGTGGAGAAAATACACTCCAACAAAATGTGTCTTTAATTATATCAATTTTTAGAATGTTGACAATGCATAATTTCGTAACATATTTTATTATAAGTGTTACAATATAAGTAGCTCGAAATCAATTAAGTCCAAGGGCAGATCACTTCATTTGCAGAAAACCCCCACAGAATACAAACTCTTTAGTATATGCAGTGTAGAGATGATTCTTCTAACAGTTAAATCAAGATTTCTTTTATGCAAGTTTCTCAAAAACAAAAGTAATTGCTCAAAAGGTTTTTCACTCCTCATGCAGATATTGATTGATTTAGTCAGGCAAGCTTTTTAAAAAGCTGTTACTTGTGATTTATTTAGAGTTATTTGCCCTTTTTACAATACCGATCCCGACGGTTCAACGAGTAATCACGGAAGAACTTTACAGTTAGTGTACAAGAAGCAGCTGAAATTTAATTACAAACATTCAGAAAAAATAAAAACGAATGACAAATCTAAAACCATTTGTCTAAAAATGATTAAAATGTCAATAATTATTTCAGCTTGTGTTATTATTGTTCATTTATTGTTACAGACGAGACAGAGATAGCCTGGTTAATCATTATATCTAATTATGGCCAAGTCCTGCTCTGTCCCAATCATTTATAATAATTGCCCCTTGGCTGTGTAGATCTTAGAAAGCGTCGATTACCCAATTAGTATGAGGCACTTTTACAATTGACAGTTTTAAATCAATTTTAATCTCCAAGATTTTCCCCCGATAATTTTCGTTTGAGCGTTGTGAAAATGCGAATGAAGTATACTCATGGTAAACATTTCATCTACTTTAGGGGCGGATATAAGATTTTAAATGGACGCAATGCAAACAATGTCTTGAATAATGCGTAAGCAGACCTCACGCTACCATTTTACGTAGTTTATGGGCGGATATAAAATTTTTATTTGATTCAAAATACTCGTGGAAATAAAAAAAAATGTGACCACTCGTTCGCGGAAATAAATCGTCGCGGATAAGTTCCCTGGCGGTCAGTCGCGAATACAAAATGACGCGTATAATAATTGGTTTACAGTATATAGATTCTGTGAAAGTTTTTTTGAAATTTCACTCAGTGGTTTAAGAGGAGTTGCGGATAAGAGATGGGTACCCCAAAGCTTAACAGACGGACGGACGGACGGACGGAAATAACGATTACTATATACCCTCCCTCTTTTCAAGCGGGGGGTATAAAAATCATCTGAAATTAACCCTTTTGAGATTATATTCCTTTTCTTCTTTAATTAGGTCGTATGGGAGATCTGAAGAAGGCCTTGACCTTGATTACAACAAAGTTGAAGGACGTTACCCAGGCTATTGAGTTCTGTAAGGACAAGAATAACGAGGAGCTGTGGGCGGATCTCATTAAATTCAGCATAGACAAACCATGTAAGACTACGCCCCTTATTATAGCCACAGCTTTAATCCAAAATTCAGGAACCTGTAGTCCTTTTCAGTTACTGCATGCTGTTCAAGACCCAACTGTATATCATTTACATATAAATACCCGCAAAGAGTTAAAGAAAATGTCTGCATCTCAATATTTGAACTATGGACAGAATTCATCAAATAAAAATGCCACCCTAATAATTCCAACCCAAAATATCAAGTTTTTTCTGTTGCCTATACATTTACTAAAGATGTTAAAGGACTCAAAACAATCAAACTCTGAAATCTTTTTGTTGACAGCTTTTATCAAAGGATTACTTCACAACATTGGGACTCATGTGGATCCCATCAGACTGATCCCTCAAATTCAGAACGGAATGGAAATCCCAGGATTAAGGGACTCATTGGTTAAAATCCTCCAGGACTATAATCTTCAGGTAGGAAGATGTTGGAAGGGTTCAGAAACAATCTGGTGTGATTTTCAATCATTGGAGAGAACAGATATTCTACTAGCCTATAGGGTATATTTAAAACACCACTTTGATAATAGGATTTTAAAAAAAATGATATATAGGTATTATGCATTCTTATTTCCATACAATGTATATTCCATTTCACCTTTTTTGCATTCACTTGAACTATTACTGTAGCTTTGTCATTGTAAAGAGAGCTAGGTGAAGTCTTTTAGTTTTTACGTCTTCCTTTTTGGTTGTGTCATTTTAATGCCTTTGAGCCTAAGGTCTATGCATTCACTTATTATTGAAACCTTTCTTTGATGGATATTTTCAACTAATTATTCTTTCAATTTGAAAGTAACATTTTAAGAACATAAAATCTTTTTCTTACACCAGTGGTGAGTGTTAATCTTGTTTACACACTGGTATATCAGAGCTTTTGAATCCTCTATTCGGAGTTTTGAAATGTAGTTGGTGTCCACTTGTCTTGTTTTTCAGTCTGTCCCCTCTTCTTCTTGTTTGTAAACGTACTTCCACCCATTCACATATATTAGATGATATCTCTCCTTCTTTTGGTCATTTTTCCTGACCCTTTAAAAGTAGTATTGAGTTCTTTATTACAAAATTCAGCAAGTTCTTGCTACATAACAAAGACATAATATTTCATCCTAAACAACTAGATTAAAAATCTAATACCACCAATGCTAAAAGTGTAAAAATGTTTAACAGGTAGGTTAAACAGTATTAGAAATAATTATTTTAATTACCTTGTTTTCTTGTTGACAGATATCATTAAGAGAGGGTTGTAGAAGAATTCTGGTAGCTGACAGCTTTAACTTACTAGACAGACTGGTCAAAACCCAGAGAAGAGGTGTAGCTGTGGACAGTATGTATGACAATATGATGGGGGGTGGGGTTATTGAGTGATTGACAGCTTTAACTTACTAGACAGACTGGTCAAAACACAGAGAAGAGGTGTAGCTGTGGACAGTATGTATGACATTATGATGGGGGCGGGGTTAATGACTGACTGACAGCTGTAACTTGCTAGACAGACTGGTCAGAACCCAGAGAAGAGGGGTAGCTGTCGACATTATGTATGACAATATGATGGAGGCGGGGTTAATGAGTGACTGACAGCTGTAACTTTTACTGGACAATACGATGGGATGGGGTAAACAAGTGACTGACAGCTTTAACTTTCTAGACCATAAACAGGGGTGGGGTTAATGATTGACTGACAGCTTTAACTTACTAGATAGACTGGTTAAAACCCAGAGAAGAGGAGCATCTATCGACAGTATGTTTGACAGCTTTAACTTACTGGACAGCCAGGTTAAATACACAGAAGAGGGATAGCTGTGGACATTATTATATGTATGACAATATGGGATTTGGTTAATGAGTGGCTTGGGTTCTTAAGAGGGGTTAATATTTGGATTTTGAAGTATTGTATTGGAAATAATTAATATGCAATGGTCAGGCAGTGATTCAAATGCAAGGGAGTTCATATTTTGTTGTAGGCATAAAAATTTTATTATTTCAGGTATGTATATAAATGATATTTGTTTTTACCAGGTAGTCAGTCTTGTCCTATTTGTCAACAGCGGATCATAGTAACAGGTGGGTTATAATTTTTGGCTAATCTTTAGAATCATGTTAAGTTTAAGTTATAAAATTGATATCGTCATAAATTAATTTATATTATTAATCATGTGTTATATTTTACATCTTTAAAATCAAGTCAGTTGTCAAATATGGGATATAAAATTAATTTTATCAAATGAATTTCATTTAAATTTTATTTTCAAAATTATTCCTAAGTATGATCTGTTTTAATAATTTTTTGCATTGAATCCATTTTGGAAAATGGTCAAGTCTATATCCAATAATAAGTAAATATCAGTATACTGTTTCGTAAATTTGCGATATGCCAGCAATGTTGTTTTATTCCACTGTAAACATGCATTCCACGAAGATTGTTTACCCACAAACTCAATGGTAATTTTTTCCTTCATTTCAAAACAGAAGTAGGACCAAGTTTTGTCTCACCCTTTTATACACTTGGGTACAAAAGTATATTAATTGATATACATTTTCATAGTGAGTGTTATGTTAGACGTATTTTTTCTTGTCCTATTTGTTTGCCTTACTCTTATAGTCATTGAATTTTCTTTCACTGTAGGAGCGTTGTACAATCTGTAGTACACAAAGGAGGGGACCTGGATCTAAGGGCGTGGTCAAGTAATGTCAATCAAGTAGTGCTCCAATCAAATGCTGGCTAAAGATTGATAATCAATGGAATGATTAAAACGTTATTAAGCATTCTGTTAAACATAATCATAGTTATTGTGCTTGTATTTTTTGAAATATTTGCAAAATATAAGTATAAAATTTATCAAATGGGAATTGCCATTTGTTTATTGCATAAAGCTGCAGTACTCATTTTTAACATCAATTGTTGAAAAAAAGGCCTTTCTCTAAAGACTATGTAACATTGTAAGCCAATTTTTCAAAGTTTCTTAGCCGTGATTGAAAGTACTTCAGTGCACTGTGTACTGAAAATGATGTCGCATTTTGTTATAAATATGTTGGCATGAATAAATCACTTATTAGTGTTCATCTGTTATATTTACGTTATTAAAAATACTTCATTGGAAATGCATTTTGATTTTTAAGCCAATTTACTAGAATATTTATATTCCCTTGTTTTAGAATGGACATATTTCATTCTGTGTTTATGTTTTTTTCTTTTCTATAGGATATTTTTTAGTAAAATCATGTTCCTGTCTTGTTGTTTATGTTTCATTCTAGATGCTTTCTGCTGCATTTTTAGAGGAACTTTTTAAAATAATTTCGTGATATGTTAATGTTCTTATTCTAAAGAACATTTAAATTCCATTCCTGAAGAAAATATTTATTACGTTTCTTACAGATTTTTCCTCTCTGTTTATTGCAAATATTCATATCGTGCAGAGATGACTAACTAGTAACTTACCATAAAATGAATATCATAAAATAGAATTTACACTTTATTTCATGCATGTGTACAAGAAATGAAATTTATTCTTACAAAAGAAGATTATTTCCACACATAATCATGGAATGCAAACATTGATGATAGAAAGCATAATAAGTTTCATAATTTTATTACAATAGAATTTTGTAAGGTATAACACGGTGAGTTTGTGACCGTAAGCTACTAAGAGTATTCCTTTAATTACATGTACCACTTTCCTGGTAACTGCTTTTTTAAAAGAGTAGTTTTATGTATTATTCTGTAATAAAAATTATTAAGCATTTTGGTTATGATAATATTTGAAAGATAAAAATTTACGTACGTCTAAGAGCCTTATATAGTATTTTCTCATATCATTTTTTATTTCCAAAAATTATGCTTTAAAATATTATTGAACTTTTGTGAAGTTGACGTGAATTTCTTTTCGATAATCGGGCTTTGAATAGCAAAACAGAGAGTACGGTGATCTTTACGGCATGCGGACACTTTTAATGAAACTGAAAGTAATACGAAATTACTGAATTATATCATAAATTGATTAAAGTTATATAAAAGAAATGAGTTTTGATATCGTATTGAGGAAATCAAATAAAACATCTTAAAGCACTGCACCAAATGTTAAAAATGAGGATATTCTAACTACATGAATATTTAAAAAAAATGAATAGGCATTGAAATAATGGTAAAAATGATTACAATATAATGGTAAATGTACAAATCAAAAGAATATGCAAGGATTTAAGTCATTAGCAAACTTTAAATTATTCGTCCACAACTAGGGTCTTTCAACAATCTTGGCAAAATTGGGAATACATTAAAATACACATTACAAGTACAAATTTCAAGTAAAAGTATGATTGTTATTTTTATGTCACAAACGTTAATTGAAATATACATAGTCCATATTAAACAATCTTAAGGTATTATTCATTGAAACTTTCCCGCGATTGAAGTAAAATAGAGTCCAAGTTTTGTAAAATGTTGGATGCTTTAGATTCTTTTCGGAAAAAGAGAAAATCAACTATTTTCAATAAGGAAATATTGTTACACATAATTGCACATTTGATGATTATTTCATTTTAACTTTAAACACACCTATGTGTACATTCTAAGAGATCCATTCTTTGAAAATTTCTGATGATAATTTTTTGTTTATTTCATTTGTCTGCATTTCATCAAATACATCTCTCAAGGCATATCCAAACTCAACCCGCTTCTCCGGTTCCACATATACCCCATCTTCATAATAAAAAGAGGGAACCCCACCAGCCACAATAAGAGCAACACAGGGTTTGTGATTCCTGATCAAAATGCCAGGGGACCCTGATGATCCTTGGTCAAACGTTGTGTGAAATAAAATTTTTCTTGGCAATTCACGCAACCTTGAGTAATAATCTACATTGTTCATGAACTTTTCCATGCTCCATTCACTAAGCTCCTTGATATATTTGTCAACATCATTGTTTGGCTCAATAACGCTAAGATATACTTCACTGTCTTCCTTCATTTGAACACCGCCTGGATGGCCAATAAGGTGAACCTCTTCAGAAGGGAGGCAATTTGCACTGAACAAAGTTAAAGGCTGAGGAAACTGGATTCCCTGTTTTTTTAATTCCAATACAGCAACATCAAATTCTTGATGTTTGTACACAAGGGTCGGCTCAATTAGGAATATTTTGCTCTGGTCTGTGTTCTGGAGGTGAACCATCCTCTCGAACTGTATGTAAACCCTCTCACATCGGATAAAGTCTAGGGGACCTGTTAAACAAATAGAATCATGCATTTGTTTTTTGGATTACATATCATCTATGTCTATTCCGTCAATATTGTTCTTACATGTATTTTAGTCTCTAAGCAAACTACATTTCATATTTTTTTCCAAGATAAAATTAGTCCTACTAATCAATGTATGTGAAGATCAATAAAACGAGTAATGCAGATCAGATAAATATGAAATGTTTACAGGAAAAAGTGGCTTACATGATTTTAATGTGAATTTCTCTTTATCTGAAGTTTTCAAAAATAATGTAAAATAAGTTTCATGCGAAAATCATGTGAATTGGTATGTTCGATATTTACATAATTCTTTTTTTTAGAACTTTCATGTGACCTTTTAATTTCTTTGCACGATATTTATGCAATATACTCTTTATGTAAAATTCATATGAAAATTTTGTCAAATTTGCAAGTTTCACATAAATTTCACGTGCCCTGTGTTTCATTCCCATCTCATGTGAATTTTATAATATGAATCACTTTTGCCTATGGATCCTAGTTCTCTTATCATTATCCTATTTCAAAAGTATTTTTGTATTTTACAAACTGAAATAATGCAGATTGTGGTCAGGAGCAACAATTTTATCACTTTTGAATTCCCTTAGAAAAAATATTTGCTTCGTTATTAGTATACTGATTTTTTTTCCACATAGGATGTTTTTTGTGAAATGATTTTTGTTATCAATTTCAAATACATGTGTATGTCACAAAAAAGTAAATGCCTGTGGGAGTTAGTTTTGTCTTTAAATACAGTAGATTACATTTGTTAATTTAAATTACCCTATTCCTGAAATGTACACATTTTCATAAATAGATAAACAGGGAATAATTAAGCCCCATATTCATATATAATTTTATGTTTCTTATGTAGAATTTTAATTAAAAAAAGGGATATGGAAATAACGAACAGTATTCAATCTCAACGTCCATTAAACAAATATACAAAATAAGAGCAGAGCAAACACGGACCTCCGAAACATCAGAGATGGGATCAGGTGCCATGGAGGAGTGAGCATCCCCTGCCGACCGGTCACACCCGCCGTGTGCTCGTTGTTATAATCAGGAAATAACGGAAAAAATCCGTGGTCAATTCAGTGTATAAATAATGGACTAACAATTGGTATGAAAAACGTCAGTCAGCATTTCATTCAATGATAAATTGTATTTGCTGACAAGGTCATTGTATCGACCATAGAATTTACGAAATGATGACTTTAAACGAGACTGTTGATATTCTTGTTTCATCAACTTGCTTGTCAATAATTTACCTCGTTTAAGAAATTGTTCATACGTAGAGCATGCTCTTGCGTATCGAATCAACTGAGATATAAATACTCCGTATGCAGGTGATGAAGGTATATTGCTGCATAAGTAAGGGAAGTTGACGATAGAATAGTTAAAGTCATCATGTTTATCATATAGCTTGGCTGTTAGATTACTATTAGTGTCTTTTTCAAGTAAAATATCAAAGTATGAAGCAGAAGTGTCGGACTCTGTGGTATCTTTTATCTCAAGCTCAGCAGGATATATCGTGTCGACGTAGGAATGGAAATTATCATTATTAATTGACAATACGTCGTCGATATATCTAAATGTCGAGTTGAAGGCCACAGCAAGTGTTTTCTTCTTTCACGTAAAAGATTCTCCATAAATTCTGCTTCATATGAATATAAAAATAAGTCTGCTAATAGCGGAGCACAATTTGTACCTATGGGAATTCCAATAGATTGTTGGAATACCTTGTCTCCAAAAACCACATAGATATTGTCAATCAGAAACTCAAGCATCTTCTTGATGTCAATTTCAGAGTACTTATGTGTGCAATCAGAATCTGTTTTAACAAAATAATTTTTCAAATGACCAATGACGAGGTAAGTAAACTTACAAGTTCCATTTTTGTTGAAGAAGCAGCTGTCAATGATATCAAAAAGCCTGGATTTCAATTTGTCGTGGGGAATTGTTGTGTATAAAGTTGAAAAGTCGTAAGTTTTTAAGCTGTTGATTTTTGTAAAGTCTTGTGATTTCAAATTGTCCAAAAGTTCTTTAGAATTTTTTAATATCCACATCTGATTTACACCACTTCTTGAATATATAGTTGTACAGTACTCTTAAGGTTTTTCCTTCACTACTGTCAATATTTTAGTGAGAAGTAACGAAAGAGGCTTGGTTGAACATTTACTGGAACCTGCAATGTATCTTTGTTTGTAAGGATTCTTATGAAGTTTCGGAATCCAATATATATAAGGTAGTTCAAATTCATTTTGGCTCTGTGGAATATTAAAAGTATTCAAAACTGACAGGTGATTTTGAAGAATTCCGTAGAAAGAGAAGTATATGTATAAGTAGGATTACCACTTGTAGAGTTAAATCCAAGTTCTTCTAGAATGCAATTTATATAATGAGCCTTACAAACGAAGACAATGTTGTTACCTGCTATGTCGGCAGGAACCAGTACGTACTGATCGTGTAATCTATCTAATTCTTTTTTCACTTCTGGTTTATTGAACACAGAAGTATAGATGGTTTTCATTTTGCCCCTCAATCTTTTAATACGTGACTTTAACATGGACCTGATACATTTAATCCATTCTGATAAGGTGTCAATGTCTTCTTTTTCATATTTAGCCCATCGTCTGGCGTAATTTTCAACAGAATCCATAATATTTATGAAATTCCGACGCCAGTTGAAGGATCGGAGTTCCCTATATTTAGGACCTTTTAAAATAAGTGATCTAAGAATAATCCATTTCCAATTTGAAAATAACTACCCCAGTAGTTTAATGATGGTTATTTTAATTAAAAGAGAATTTTGGGAAGGAAAAAGGGAAAACAAATCTTTGCCCATAATTAGAACTTGTTGATTTTTTTGCTACGACTCATTTAACATTGTAATGCATTTAGCAAAATGACAAGTTTCGAAAATAATCGAACTGGTATGCAATTTTTCGTTTGGGTAGGACATCCCCTCTTCAAACAAACACCCAATCGACTATCATTTTTTAAATCAGAATCCTTGAAACATCTTACCTAAATTGAGAGGTAAAAAAACTAAATGCAGTTTAAACATTCTTATAGTTGTCTTTAATAGAGTATTCTTTTTATTTGATTATATCAAAGAAAATTTTTCTGCTCAAAACGACGTACCTTGAACAATCCTTTCGATGATATGTAGACAGGTCATGATGTACTTTTCTCCTACCCTAAATCCTGTTCCTGCCGGATGTCCATCAACATAAATAAGTCCTACACTTCTGATGACTTCGGCCTTTAAATGACTTGTCAGTGCGTCCTTCTGAGAGGCTCTTTTGGAGAAGGGATAGGTACAACTTTTTCTTGGTGATCCTTCTCTTTTCTTAAAAGCGGTGAGTTTTTTTAACATAAGACACCAAATGCTTTTTGACGAGATAAAATAATTACAAATGATAATTAGACAGGCAGTCCTCAAACAGACTGTCGACAAGAGAAAATTAACAAAATGCTATATAATAAAATACAGAAAAAATTAAAACATTGCTTTTATCCCAGTCTTTCTTAAATTCCTTGCAGGTTAATAAAGTACTTTATTAAACAATCCAAAATTACCACACAGGTCGAAAATTTTTTTAATTGGTTATTCAATTCATACCAATATAATTTAATATTTACCTTCTCCCAGAAACCCAGAGTCTTTTGCAAAGTTATGATATGTTTTTCTTGAAGTCGACATGCGCACTGAGTTTTTTCAGTCTTGATTTTGGAGAGTTCACTTACAAGGGTGAACGATGTATCATTCTCATAAAAAATATTTTTCTGGCATTTAATCCCTTTTTGGAACTTTTTTGTGTCAGTGAAGGTTTTTGTCAATATTTCTACAGCATTTTCGATTGAGTGTCCGATTTTACTTGATACTTCTTTTTCTACAGTCAATGGTTTAATTCGCAAAACTTGCAATTGAATTTCATCATTACATATTCCGATAGCTACTGTGTGTTCTTTGCAATCAAACACGGCTGCTGTTTGATAAAGGCATAGATTTCCCTCATTATCTCCGTCTGTTGAAACTTTCCAACTTAGAACACCTATGCAATAAGCCACCAATCTGTAGAACTCAAATATGGCAAAAGAAGTGAATCGAAAGCACAAAATGGATGAGCGGTCCCATTTTTCTTCACAGAAATCAGCTTTAAACTGTTTTTTGTTCATACAAGGGACATACCATGTCATACCACCTTCCGATAAAGCCCCAAAGGATTCCAAAGGTACCAGCATTTGAAGTTTCTCCATATAAGACATAATTTCACTTTTGTGTTTCAGGTATGAGGGTTCATCTTTCCACAGAGCATCTACCACTTTTTCTTTAAGTTCCCCTGTTTTGTTGAAGGATTTCCACTCCCTTCTTAAACTCCTTCTACAATCTTTAGTGATATGGTTTTCATCAGCAATAATCTTACTAAAGGCATTGGCAAACCATTGGATGTCCAGTATTGCATGTTCTCTCAAATTCTTCTCTTCACAATACAAAATAAGACCATTATCATTGAAACACTTAAGAAAATCAGACATTTCTCCATTACTTTTAATTTTGTATTCATGGGGAAGAGATGAGTTGAGCCTCCAAATATCAGCCAGTGACAAAACCTTCCAATCTCCATCATACAATAATTGTTCCATTAGAGCCCAGGAAGAAGGCAATTCCATTTTGGTATTGATTTCGTTTTTAAAAAGTTCTACGATGGACTCTTTTATAGAATTCAGCATTTGTTTCGAATTGTCATTTAGTTCAAGCAGACCTACTGCATATTCTCTATCATTCAGAGAGTCACTTAACCAGTCTGTTTCTTCAGCTGGAACTGTATCCCAAAGTTCCGTGAAGAATTTCTCTATTTCCTAGATACAATAAAAAAGTAAAGAAACATTTATTTACGGATCGGATATGTGTTATGCTCTACGTAATGATTACATTTTAATGAATAGAGAATTTCATGTTTTTAAGTATAAAAAATAATTTAAAAAGAGGACATATATTTTTCTATAGAAATCATTGCTGTAAACAAACATGATAAAGGTCCCACGGTCACAAGTCCACGATGCTTTGAACAATTTTTCAGGAAAGAATTACACTTCTCTCTATTCAATAACGAATGAACGAATTTTTTAACCTAAAGTCTAGCCTCTGTGTAGTAGTCACGACTTTCTGAGAATGATTAGATTTTATTTTTTCTAATCTACGTTCAAAACAAAATCTTTTACCGCCATTTTGTCCTATTAATTTTCATTGAAATTCAAGTATAATTATAAGCTTGATACTTACATTTGTAGATTTGTTCTCTGCATGAGTGACAATAACAAACACTGGTGCCTTTTTGCCGCCAAATGTCTTGATTGAGGTAATCCAAAATTTCAAATAATCTAAAAGAAAAACTTAAATATATATTAATAGGACAAACAGACAATGGGTTCATATTACATATGATATCTACTGGTTTGTAATATTATTACAAAAGTCTAGAAAAAGTTTTACTTCATCATTTTTCAAATTTATTATTACAAAATTATGTTAGTTATGAAATATAGGAAAGTTAAAACATTATTGATTTAATAAAACTCGAAATTATGAGAGAAATATTGTTTTAAGAGAATCTTTCACATTTTTTATCTTCTATAACTATTTGTAACCCTTTTCTTGACATTAAAATCTGTTTTTTGGAAATTTACTTAACATGTATACTAAAGGGTTAGATCGTGCAAACATGCCTTGACATTTAAATTCTTTATGCTAAGAAGGTTTTAAAATTGTTTTCCCTACACATTACTTTGTATAAATTTGATACCCAATCGGAGCCCCTCCCTAAATACCCCAAGAGGCATGATTTGAACAAATACGAATCTTCACTGCAGTTAAAATGAGGATGCTTTCATGTCAATATGAATAAACATAGCTTCTATGTTCTTAAGATAATGATGTTTTTCTTTACTTTTCATGTGAAACTTTGATCCACCATTAAGTCCCAATGTATCCCCGGGTTAAAAATTGGAATCACGGCTTTGCTGTTCTCGAGAAGAAGATTTAAAAATTATTTCCAATATATTTCTAAGCAAAAAATATATTGGCCATTATGGCCTCACCCTGCCCACACGGGTCATGAATTGAAATTTGTAAGCAGTGAAATCCTTGAACAACTCAGTGTTAAAATAACAGTATATCCCTTTGTATAAAAAAAACATTCAACATCCCCCTAACGATAATTCGTATCTGCAAATAAGGTCATTATATCGATTAAAGAATTTGCAAAACTTTGACTCTTAGCAAAATTGTTGATACTTGTATATTAATGGCTTAGCATTAGTGTTCGGTCAATAAGATGAATTTAAAATTTGTAACAGATTAATAATTTCTATACTTTTCAGCAAATACAATTTATCACTGAGTCAAAAACTGATGGGTCTACGTTTTTCATACTAATTGTTAGCCCATTATCTATATATCAAAGTGACAACGGATTTTTCCGTTATTTTCCGATCATGACAAGGGGCACTGGCGGGTGTGACCGGTCGGCAGGGGATGCTCAATCCTCTATGACACTTGGTGCCACATCTGATTTTTTGGAGGTCTGTGTTTGCTCTGCTCCTATTTTGTAATAATTTATTGATTTTGATCTTGAATACTGTTCGTCATCCCCGTGTGTTGCATATGAGACTATTAATCTTATCTAAGAGTAAAAAGCGTTTTCAAAGCTGTAATATAAGTCTCCTTTTTATCTATTTATCTACCCCCCCCCCCTTCCCGAAATTGAACTTAAATGCTATAAGTCTGAAACTTTATGCCTCGGATCAAAAGATCCCGACATTATAAAGTTTTTGTTTTGTCTGTCTGATTTTTGTATCTCTGTTTGTCCCTGTCAGTCTGTTAACTTTTACCTTGCCCTTATCTATATCACCGATGTATTCCTTGTAACAAAACCCTCCTTTGGGTATCCACAATTGTGACCTTTTGACCTTGATCTTTGGCCTTTGACATACATTTAAGAGAATTCAACTGTCGCCGTAAGCTGCCAATCGGAGGCAAAAATATTTCATACATACATCTTGTTTTTAAAAAGTTTCATCATCTGATCAAATAATCAATGAAAAAATTCAACTTTTAGTTGCTGTGTATTCTATAAAAAAATAAATAACTCATAGAATGATTATTTATATATGACTTTTAGTAATTAAGTTATGTCCACTTCGGATGATGCAAATAGACGATTTAAATTTTACGTCACAGTTTTGGTAGAACACTAGTTGACAACTATCATGCAAACAGAAGTGATTTTTTAGAAACAGTATATACATGAAGCTAATTTGCATACATGTAACATGTTCAATAAATTCCTATATTTAAATTTTCTATAAGACCAGCTGATAGTTCATTATCAAAAGGTAAAATACTTATAATCAAAGATTGTACAACGATAGATGACCTCTATTTCTCTAACGCCATGAATGTTTGACATCACGAGAACATTAATTTTACCTCTGTAAGTCCACATGGAAAAAATAGATCCTTCTTGATTATCTTTGTCTTTACTGACAGGATCTGAAAACTTCTTAGTCATGTCTAAGACAAGGATGAAGAAGGCCTTCGGTGTTATATAAATCTGATGACAAGCATAATATGCAAACTGTCCAGCAAAATCTACAATGCTTACGGTCGGTAATGTTTCTTTGTCAGCCAAAATTTTTTGAAAAAAATCACCCATAATCATTGTTTTGGAGGAGAGAATACTAGCCATTATTTCTACTGTATTATCTTCTTCTGTATCTTCCACAGGTGTACCTCTTGTCTTTAAATTTTCTTCCTCCCTGCTATAAATTACTTCAGTGCCTTTATCTGCATTTTTCAGTTCCTGGCTGTCTTTCTTGTCATTAATATTTGAGTTATCCGCTGAAGTGCTCGGGTCTAGTTTCAGATCTTCTGAGTTAATCCTTATGAATGTCTTCAAAGTTGAGTCATCATTAGTCACTGTTAATATACAATATTAAAACTGTAACTTGATCCAAAGAGTCGTACTACGCTGAGATGACAGGAGCGGATCATGAGATCAAAAGCGACGCAAAACGTCGAGATTGATCTGATGGTTGAGGTCTGTCGACGAGAGACGTGATACAGCTGTTTGGACTAAGTTACTTTTATAATGAAAAATTTATTATGTACACATCTACACTTAGCAAAAATAATAACAATGCAATTATATATCTTTGAACCATAAAACAAAGTATGTTGTCGAGAGAATGTAAAGCAAGAAATACAAGAGGCCCATGGGCCACATCGCTCACCTGAACACTGTGACTAGGAAAAAGGAGAAATTGGTTTAAATCCAAAATAAGTCCCATGACCAATCTTGTATTTGCTATTCTTGAGATGATATTTAAAGAAGTTTCCTATATATTTCTATGTAAAAACCTTGGTCGGCCATGTGCCCCCCTTTCCCTTGTGGTCATTATTTGAACAAACTTAAATCTACGCTACCCCAGGATGCTTCCACATAAATTTCAGCTTTTCTGGCACAGTGGTTCTTGAGAAGATTTTTAAAACATGCCACCAAATTTTCACTTATTCCCAATTATATCCCCTTGAATGAGTGCGTTGCTCTTCATTTGTGAAATGTGTACAGACAGTCAGACGGACAGACAGACGGACACCGGACAAAATGTGATCTGAAAAGCTCACTTGAGCTTTCGGCTCAAGTGAGCTGAAAATGTAACCTAGAGTGATCTATTTCTTATATGGATTTCTGAAACTAGAAATAAAAAACAATAAAAAGTCTATTTCTCCCTTCTTAAGCGTTTCAGAAAATGTTGGTCATGTTTAAGCAGCCCGGAATCTGCTGCACATTAAGATTCGTTGATACGCTGATAAGAAAGATAATTCTTATTGACATAAATAAAAAGTATTGTCCCCCGCTTTGGCGAAAGTGAGGGGACATTAAATCTCATTTGTCTGTCCGTATAACCGTCTGTCGATCAGTCTGTCTAGCTGTCCGTCCGTCACAAAAACTTTAACCTTGTCCATAACTTTTAATGAAGTGGGGCTATGTCTTTCATATTTCACATGTGTATTTCTTGTGACAAGATCTTTCTTTATATACCATCAAGTTTGACCTTTTGACCTTGACCTTGAAGTTTGACGAACCTTTACACAAAATTCCAAACTTTTACTTTGGACATAACTTTTGAATGGTAGATACTAGGAATTTTATATTTCACATATCTATGCCCTGTTGCAAGGCCTTTCATTGATACAAACAACCGTGACCTATTGACCTTGACCTTGAAGATTTTTGTGCTTGTGAAAAAACTTTATCTTTGGCCATAACTTTTGACCGGTAAGGGATAGGGCTTTCATACTTCACATATGTAATCCTTTTGAGAAGACCTTTAATTTGATACAAAGAACTTTGAACCTTTAACCTTGACCTTGGAGTTTAACTTACTTTTACAAAGCGAACCTTGGCCAAAACTTTTAAAGAGTTAGGGCTATGGCTTTTATTTTTCACATTTTTAATCCGTGTGACAGGATCTATCATAAGATATCAAGAATCATATTGACCTTAGAGTCTGACCTACTTTTAATTAAAAAAAAACCCTATGGTATTAATATATTTAATTTGCATTCAAGACAAGTTTAATCTTCGCTATGTTGCCATACGGGGTCATCAGTGTTTCACAAACACATATTGTTCATTTTATTGAGAAGAGATATGGCTTTCATATTTGACATGTGCAGGTCTGTGATAAGATATTTCCAAGCATGCTATGATTTGTGACCCAATATCCTTAACCTTCACGATTGATCTTATTTTTAAAAAATCCTACTTCGGTGATAGTTTCTAAATGACATATGATAGAGCGTTCATATCTGAGACAATATGTCATAAAAATGACATCTCACCCACAAAGATACCGAAAGCTGTAGGGGGGAATTCTTTACTTGTTTTTTTGTATGTAAACAATTTACAATTTGCTTCTAATGAAATTGAAATTCAATTTTCTAGACATTCAGTTGGTCATAAGATCAGATTTTCTTGCATATTTGAAAGAATACTGCATGAGCCATTTTGAAAGTTCGAATTGTGACGTCACATGTCGTCGTAGTTACGTTATGTTGCATTTCCATAACAATGTCTAAATAGTGACTATTATACAATTATTGCTGTTTTTGAGGTCAATACAATGATTTAGCCATTTGAGGAGTACAATATTCACCGAGCCCGAAGGGCGAGGTGAATATTGTACTTCGAAGATGGTTAAATCATTTTATTAAATGATAAGGAATTTTGGTGCTCTCTGATTGGTCTAGACGCCATTTACTGGTGTGTACCTTAGAGTGAGTTCACCTCAAATGACGTTCTGGGAGGTTTATTCGGGTTTTCCCTCTCGACCAACCATATATTTGCTTACAGCTTTTTCGACCAATCAGATTGCGTGTTTAAAAGCATGTGCTGGTGTGAATATAAACATGTCAGACGCCATTACCAAGGAGATTAAGAACTTTTTGAAAGTAAATGGTTGAGTATTTATTGTTTATTAATATTGTTTTTAACTTTTTAACTAATATTTGTTTAGCTGTTGAAGTATATCAACATGTAAAAAGTGTAATTACACTTTACATTATGGATGTTTATATTTGATGGAGACAAGAATGAAAGAGTCAGCAGTGTTGTAAAACTCCTCATCGTTTAATAAAACAGTTATTGACTTTTGAATTCGGTCTACTCGTGACTATACAGACCTGGTCTGTATAGTCACGAGTAGCCTCGGTCAACCAATACCTGACCAGGTCTGTATAGTCACGAGTAGACCTCATCAAAAGTCAATAATTGTATAGTATTGACCTCAAAAACAGCAATAATTGATTTATCATACGATTCACTGATAAAAAGATACAGCTCATTACTTGTTTGCATTTAATTAAGTCCAAGTCAAATACAAGAGAGAAGCAGAATTAAAATGTAGATAAACTTTAAATTACCAGTCGTATCAATTTGAAATGTTTTTTAAATAAATTTTAGTTGCACTGAAAAATATTTATAATGTCAGTCTTTTTTTATAGGATAGATTTTGAAAGGAAGGAGTATAATCAGGGAAAACTGACTGCCAAAAAGTAAAAAAAATATTGCTGTTCAGTACGTAAAAGGACCCATCATCCTCTCTTACCACCCTCACCCTAAAATATATATTCGCTTTTGTTTTGTTCACATACAATAAAAACCATAGTCGTTTAAATAGCTTTCCAAAACAATTTGTATCAATTTGGAATTTCCCAATCTATTTATAGATCAATGTAGAGGAAATAAATCTTTGTATTGACCTGGAACATCACGTGCTGGTCAATACAACGTAGTATTTTTCTAACATAGTTGGATCGCAGCCAATCAGAGAGATGGAAATTATTCAATCATATAATAATTTTCCATGTCACACGAATAAAATTAGAAAATATAAATATAAGAAGTAAGATATCATTTTTAGAGTTTCATTGTATGTGACATGAAGTTGGTGCGTGATCAAATATACTATGATATTTGATCACGTGACTGACTAAATTTCATATCCCAATTAAACTCTAAAAAAATCCAATTTGAAAAGAACTGTTATATGTCCGTGACACTTAAACTATCCGCCATCCTACAACAAAATCTAAGTTCCAAAAATTTTTTTTTCTATCATAACATTATTTCATATTTCTTTATTATATTGTGACTAATTATTTAAAAAAAAACTTTTTTTAGATAAAAAATTAAAGAGTGGTGTAATTTTAGGATTATTCGTAATTTTTTTTGGTGTGGAATAGAACACTGCGATACATGTGCTATGTGTTATGCATACTATCAGAAAAATCTTCTTAACCTTCCAAAACTCCATTTCTGACAAGAAACAAATGCTGGTGGACCTCCAATCCCCTGGTTGGTTCTGTAATCTCATTGCCTATTTGAAACTGCCCTTTTAATCGCTTTAGTAATGTTGTTTTTCCAGCATCAGCACATCCAACAAGTATTCCTCTGGCATGGGAAACAGTTATCTTCTTCTTCAAAAACTTCTTCAACTCATCGATAACAATTGTATCTGTATCCATGAGGCTTGTAACTATGTGAAATAAAAAGTTATGTCAAAAAGACCTAGAAAGAATGATTTTTCCTCATAAACAAAGGGGGCTTGACACAGACACAGTTAATATTTTTAAAGTCTTTTTTGTACAATGAAGGATATGGAGATAAAGAACAGTATTCAATCTCAAAGTCAATAAAACAATACAAAATAAGAGAAGCGCAAACACGGACCCCCGAAACACCAGAGGTGGGATAACGTGCCTTTGAAGAGTGAGCATCACCTGCCGACCGGTCACACCCGCCGTGTGCTCCTTGTCATAATCAGGGAATAACGGAAAAAAATCCATCGTCATTTCAGTGTATAAATATAATGTACAATAATAAGACTTATATAAATGAATGCTATATCATTGCTTACAAGTATATGATAAAAACTGGATTAGTTTTGAGCAAAAATATGAAATTATAATCCAAAATAATTTAATTAGAAATGCTAGAGCATCATATTGTTCAGAAAATAAAAAAAAAATATTAAGTCCAATGATGTGACCTGAGTTTCCCTTAAAAACAGATCTAAAACACACGAATTTAATTATATTTTAATTTTTCAGAAATAAGAAAAA